ATTACTGTTTTAGTATAAGTTATGAAATAATCAAAAGAAATTAATAAATTTACTAAAATTGGACATTGTCACTAAAATGGATGGGGAGTTACTAATAAACCATGTACATGCGGAAGATTTACCGAGAAAAATAAATAATTTTTTTCAATAATAAAAAATAAATTTTAATCCGATACACTAACGACCTAAAAATACATAAGGAAAATTTTTTAAAAAAAACCGAAAATTTTATAACTACATGGCTAAACAAAGCAAGATCTATTACACTAATGAATGTTATGCTAAAGAATTGGAATTTGACAAGAAATCTTTGGAATTGTGAATTTTTGTGTGATAATTTTTAAAAAAATGAAGAATTTAAGGAAATTTTAAGATTTTCGCGTGACTGGCGATCACAGTAATTTGAAAAGCACGATAAGTTAAAAACTTATAATTCACTTGACAAAATAACGTCAAAAAAACCCCAAATTAACGTTTTAAAAAAAATCGGTTTAGAATGTCAAAAGCTCGTAGCACTGTAGAAATATGAAATATTGTTTTATTTAATTGAAAAGAAAAGCTTAATAAAAAAATCATATAAAGTCAACTCTTTCCATAGCGAATTGACGGTTCTAAGAGAAAATAGAAGGTTCGTTATAAAATTGCCATGTTTTATTAAGAACCCATGGCACCTCTTATACCGAACTATTGAAATTGCAAGATTTGAGTTCGTTATATCCAGAATCGATCATATATATAGTATATACAGTCATACCTGAGTTATATCCCCACTGGGTTATATCCCAACCTGAGTTATATCCCCATATTTAAGCAAAATAAATTTCCTCTTTTTTATATGTTTTTATATATTTTATATATTGAGTTATATCACTGCCTTGGTTATATCTTCAAAAATGCTCTGGAAAAGGGGATATAACCGGGTACTTCCCGCCCGATTTTGAAATTGCGTTTTTTATCCAATCAGCGTCCATTACGTCGAATTTACACGATCAGTGTGTAGCTTTAAAACGCTTTTATCTTGAAATTTTGCTTATAAAACTAACTTCTGCGTTCTAGCAAAAAAAATTTCTTGCGAAATTTTAGTACAGTTACTTATTTTAAAGCCCTACCCTTATCCTATCACTAACCCTAATACTAATATTGACGGTATTTTATTTTTTTTTTAAAAAAAACATAGAAAACAGCGACAATCATTTCCATTTTGTACGGGGTTACATAGTTGTATCTGGATATAACTCAGGTACGACTGTATATATTTCGTGATATTAACATATCACTCTGTTCTTGATATTCTTCAGCTTTCATGTTACTTAACCAAATAATAAATTGAGATTAATTTAGTAATAAATTTCTACAACGAATAAATAAATAAAAAAAAAGTAGTGGTTTAATTAACGATATAGACTAAAGAAAAAAAATGGTAAACATTTTCAATAAATGTAATGACTATTAAAAGTAAATAAATTCTCGCAACAGTTTGTATTCGCTCGCGATTAACTTTTTTTATTAGTTACTGATAATTATTTTAATTAAATAAATTAGTCAATTATATGAAAGTCAACTGAGTTCAGACCCTTTCTATTCTTCAGATTCCTCGAGATATAACGCTTTATCTCAAATTTATTGTGAATTGATATCTTCAGGATCATTGATGTTTAAGTAAATAAGGCTCTATTTCAAATTTATCGAGAATTGTTCTCAACGGTACAATTGCAGAAACATACGCATATCCAGGTATAGAAACATACGCAGATGCACTTAATATACCGATTAGACTCACAGAACGCAAATCTTTATAAGAAAATACAACTCCCCCACTATCACCCGACTCAGTCCTAAGAATACCAACGATATACTCTCTTCCAAAACTAAATTCATTGAGAAAAAAACCATTGAACGACACTACATATCCACAAGTAACATGCGTAGTAAAGCCAGATTTACATATATGAGCACCATGACTAGACACAGGAGTATCATCATTTATCCATAGTTCGTTAAATAATTTACTATCAGTATTTCTTACACCGACTAATGGTATGAACTCATTATTTAGTATTTCGACCAAGCCAGCATCAAGTGGTTCTATAAAATAGTCACCTGCTTGCCCAATAAAATTGCTAGGGGCTCGTGAAGGTTGTCGATTCCGCGGTGAGTTCCATGGTTTATGATAAAACTTACTTCCTATAGATCTGGAACAATGTCCTGCACTTACAAGAAATTTGACTTTGGATTTATTGGATCTATTGCCCAAAAACCTGATGAGAAAAATTGTTCCAGTCACCGTTTGCTATGCCGTCACCACTTAAAATCATTCCAGATATTATGCCACCAGAACTTTCTCGACGTTTTTGTATAAGTTGTTTCGAAGGTTTAGCAACAATTATTAACAATTTGTATGGTCTTAAGGCATTTATGAATGGTAAATTTGGATTTGGTTTTTTATCATCTTTAGGTGGAAAAACTACAACAACATTATTTTTTAATATATCGATGTAAAAAGAAATGTCAACTGGTTTATATTCTTCAGCTAATTTAATGATTTTATTTAACGTGGATTTTAATTCAGTTAGAGAATTGCTTGCAACTCTAAACGTTAATAAATGTTCAAATTTTTTTATCTTGGGTAAGGATTTTATAATTTGAGCTTCAGTTTGATTAATTGTATTAATAACTACTTTGTTTTTTACTACATTTATATACGTTCCTCCAAAACCAAAATCATTCAGTAACGGTTTTACTATTCCATCCACAATTATTAAATTCTTCTCGATACGTAAAAACTTGGGTATTTCACTGTCGTCTATCCTCCATAATTTTGCTAATGGTTCGTTCTGAGCACAATAGCTTTCTAGTGTAAAAATAAATAATAAATTTATTAAAAGGTAAATGATTTTCATAATTACTGGCGATAGTAATAAAAGCTTTCCTACTCTTCTTTTATCATTATTTCACGTAATACAAACCATCAAAAATATCAAAGTACTTATGGGTAATTTGCTAGGAAAATCCCTGTTTGGCACATGATTTCAAACGGTCAAATAACCGTTAATTAAAAATTGATACTGATTAAAATGTAACATACACGAACCAAAAAAAATCAGTGTTTTAAACTCAATTTTATAGTTCGATCGTTCATACAACATTCAATTTTAAATATGATCGATGCACCTAATTTTTATATGTAAAATTTGCTTTCTGGATTTATTTATTAATAAAAAATTGTGGAATTTACAAATAAGGGCCCGGAAGTGAAAATAATTACAAATACGGGCCCAGATTAAAAATAATCACATATAAGGGCCTAATTTTTAAAAAATATTACATATAAATGTCCAAAATAACTGCGATGTTATTCAAGCCTGTGGATTGATCGTTATTAGCATAAGAAATGTAAGCATCGATAAATGTAGTTATTAAGCGCATAAAAAATGTAACTATCGATT